GTGTGCGTGTTTGCATGCGTGCATGTCCGTGTCTCTGCACCGTTGCTGCTGACAAGGCGTGTGATATGCGATCCACACGTTCATGGCCCTCCTCACCTACCACCGCACCGTTTTCTGCATCATCCTCACCCCTCTTTCTTCCTTCCACACACACACACACACACACACACACACACACACACACACACACACACACACACTCACTCACTCACACACACCCTTACACACACACACCCTTACACACAACACACCCTTACACACAACACACACACACACACACACACACACACACACACACACACACACACACACACACACACACACACACACACACACACAAGCACGGCATCATCGCTGCTTCGAGCCGTACCGATGCAGTTGTGGATCTTGGCCTCAGACGTGTCGATGAGATGATATGCCTCCTCCGTCAGGCCTTTCTTCAGCCGGTCACGCGCCATCGTCACCCACTCCCGCGCCCTGTGTCATGGGTGTTCCGTGATCAGTGGGTTTAGCACTCAGCCCTTCAACACACACGCACACAGCAAGCAAACGGAGTTGTGCTCATACACGCACACACACACACACGCACACAAGTTACTGACTGCATGTAATCGCCGAGGCTGAGGTAGTCATCTGCTAAGTCCATGAACGTGGTCAGGTACTTGAACGAGCTCACGCCTTCCTTTGCTGTGAACAACACGTGGGCAACACAGATAACGACAGTAGAAGCAGGAGTGAGGCATGATTCGTGCAATAGCAAGGTGGGCGCGGATTCACACACACACACACACACACACACACACACACACACACACACACACACACACACACACACACACACACACACACACACACACACACACACACACACACACACACACACAGCAGCACGATCAGAAGCAGTGGCGGCTCACCCTTTGCTTGGAGGGCGAGCATGTTAATCTCCGCACTCTCATGGAAGAGATGCAGGTGCCGCGCTAAGCGCGCGCCTTCCTTCAGCAGATACATCTGTCGTGGAGAAGCGACGGGAGAAGTGGTGGTGGTGGTGGAGTGAGTGGGCAATGGTTGGGCGACGCCGATCGATGGGGTAGGAGATGTGACAGAGAGATAGAGATACAGATACAGATAGAAATAGAGATAGAGAGAGAGTGTGTGTGTGTGTGCTGGCGCTATGGCTTGGTGTGAGACAAATCGAGCAGACAGGCGTACAGACACACACACACACACAGAGACACAGAGACACACAAGACGTACAGACACCCACCCACACACCCACACACCCACACACCCACACACCCACACACCCACACACACACACACACACACACACACACACACACACACACACACACACACCACACCCACACACACACACACACACACACACACACACACCCACCCACACCCACACACACCTTGTCGTCGAAAGGGATGTCCACACCCGCAGACTCGAGTTCACCGATGGTCGTGTAGATGAGCGCCCACGCCTCCTTGAATTCGCCCTTGTTGACGGCGTCCGCCATGGCAGCGATGGTCGTGCCAGTGCAGGCCGGCGGCAGCGGAGACATGGACGAAGGAGACGACGATGACGAAGAGGTGGGCCACGGCTCTGCATGCCACACACTGAAGCGTCTACGAGTTAGCATGCAAGCCAGTGCACACACGCACACACACACACACGCACGCACACACACACACACACACACACACACACACACACACACACACACACACACACACACACTCTCTCTCTCTCTCTCTCTCTCTCTCTCTCTCTCTCGCACACACACACACTCTCGCACACACACACTCACAAGCACGCACACACACACACGCATGCATACACACGACAGAGCACACGCCCAGAGCCGTTTAGTGGACAGGGACATGCCCTCAAGCCTGCAGGCACGAGCAGCAAAGCATCAACAAGAGGAGGCAGCAGCAGCAGCAGCAGCAAGAAAGGCAAGAAGAAGACCACCAAGAAGAAGGCAACCCGCTGAGGTTTCGTCAGCGACACCATAAAATGCACTCCCTTAACAACCCAAGCAAACCCGTTGTTGTGGCGATGGATGATGGTGGTGATGAGTGGGATGAAGGTGGTGGTGATGTGAGTGAGGGTGAGGAGAACGACGACGTTGTTGACGACGACGGAGAGGAAGACAATGCAGGAAACAGTGATGATGATGAAAACAGCGGAGAGAAAAAGGACGAGGGCGGAGATGACGGTGACGAAGAAGAGGAGCAAGAGGGTGCTGAAGATGAGGATGATGCATTTGCATTCGATGGCATGGACGAGGAGGTGCAGAAGCTGCTATCCTTTGATGCATTGAAACAAGCGGCAAAGGAACTGACCACGTTCCCGCGCATCCCAGGGCCCGCGGCAGTGCTGTTGGAGCGAAGTAATGACCTGTACAAGGCTGGGCAGTATGCCACGGCGCTGCGGTCTTACTTGCGCACCCTCAAGGAGGCGGAATCCGGCCTGGAGACGTACCTTGTTCTCGTCACGCTCCTCAACGCTGGAGAATGCAGCATGCACGTCACAGAACCCGACCTCAAGGCCCTCGGCGAGAGCCTCCTTCGTCGTGCCATGGACCAGGTCAGTCCTCTTTTATGTACCTCCGTGTGGGCGTGTATGTGTGTGTGTGCCTGTACGTGGGCGTGCACATGTGTGCTTGCACCTGTGTGTGGGTCTGTGTGCCTGTATGTGGGCGTGCACATGTGTGCTTGTACCTGTGTGTGGGTCTGTGTGCCTGCGCGTGCACATACTCTCGCGCTCCCTCCCTCTCCCCAAAGTATGCTGTTGTGACATCACAATTATGACCACCCTTCTCACACCGCTTCCTCCATCGCACCTGCATTAGATTGACCAGAACCCTGGGCCGCAGGCACGCGCGTCGTGTCATGAGTACATCGTACATGCGGCGCGATACTGGTGGGCGGCGGAACTGAAGCTGCCAGAGCCCCCAAAGAAGACAAAGAAGAAGAGGAGAAAGGGGTCGAAGAAAGGCGGCAAGGGAAAGAAGAAACTCACCAAGAAAGGCTCCAAGAAGAATAAGAAGAAGAAGACATAGATGCGCGGCGTGAGGGCGACATGGAAAACGCCAGCGTGTGTGTGGACTCGCACATGCCCCTCTCCACTTGCCCTGTGTCATCATTCACTGACACCTTCTGACCGTGTTACGTTTGCGACCATGTTACGTGTCACGCACGAACCAACAACAGCAACTGCATCACTGCCCACCACCTTCCTTTCCTTGGTTCCTTGTCTTGACTTTGAGCTCGCGCATGTCGCGCCCATTGCGTTGTTATGTGACAGTCACCTTATCTTGCTCTTGTTACATCCCAGCCCACACTCGCCTGTCGGCATGCAATGTGGTAATAACCACAAGTGCTCTTTCCTCCTTTCTCAGTCTCCATTGTAAACGACCACGACACACACCAGCACCGTCATTGGGGACGGAAATGCTTCAAAGAAAGGAAACGCTTCACCACGGAAAGGTGTTGTTGTAACACTGCGCAGCACAGACGCCTCGCAGGCTGACATCATCGAACGGAACACCACGGAAGAGCAAGGAAGAGGGGAGAGGGTGTGCGGGCGGTAGTCACAGACAATAGCACAACAAGACAACGAAAGCACAAGCAGACACAAGCGGATGAAGAACATGGCAGCAACGCAACCCATGCACACACATGAAGAAGAAAGAAGAAGAAGAAGAAGAAGAGGTCCCCCAGCAAGAGCCACATAACACAAGAAGAAGAGCAACAGCAGCAAGAAATGCTGCAGGGAAGCGTGCGCTCTCGCCATTTTAGCAGTGCACGCACCCCACTTCTCCACTCAGTAGGCAGGTGGGTAGCCCTGCTGCTGCTGGGGTGGATAACCCTGTGGCGGGTAGCCTTGCTGCTGCTGTGGTGGGTAGCCTTGCTGCTGTGGTGGGTAGCCCTGTTGACCCTGTGGTGGGTAAGCAGCCTGCTGGCCAGGGTATGGCTGCTGGGGCTGGCCCTGTGGCTGCTGGTTGATGTACTTGCCACCCTGGCCGGCACCTTCATAGTCCACAGAGGTGGGGTGGAGCTTCAGCTCGTGGTACGTCTGTGCCTGCATGCACGCTTGCGTCAGGCACTATGGAGGGATGCCGACGTGGGGTTGAGGGGGTTGGAATGGGAAGGTGGGAGTGGCTTTGGGTGAGCGACGCGACGTTGATTTGCGCAGTTGATACAAGTGCAGCGAGGATTTCACGCGCGCGCACACACACACACACACACACACACACACACACACACACACACACACACACACACACAGATATACGGACACCCACACACACACACCCACAGACAAACACGCACACAGGCACAGATGTACAGACAGACAGACAGACACACACACACACACACAGACACGCATGCGCAACAACCCTACTACCAGCAACGGGTGCAAAGCTTGCTCGGGTCAACTCACGTAGACGATGTCGGCAATGAGATCAATCAGGTTAGCAAGTGCATCCAGACCATCAATGAAGATGGCAAGGATGTTGCAGATGCACGAGAGAATCTGCATGCAGTTGTTGAAGCGCTGTGTGCAAAGTAACACACACACACACACACACACACACACACACACACACACACACACACACACACACACACATCAAAGCACAAAGAAAACGGCGGTGAGGAAGGCGTGAAAAGAGGGGGAAGTACTGAAGCAGAGAAAGGGAGAGGCAAGATCACACGAGTACCCGGGGTCGAGTGGCACCACGTTCACAACAACACGTGACACGCTCGCCCGCCCGCACGCACACAACACACGCAGTTGCATACACTCATGCCTGCATGCATGCCTGCATGCATGCAAACGCAACGACGGGCACGACAAGGCCAACACACACCAGCATCAAGGCAAACGACGGCAGCAGACAACAAGGAAACACGGCAACTCACAATGATGCGGTTGTCGCAAGGGTCCGTGATGATCTGGCGCTCCACCTGCACGTAGATGCGCGTGGCGGAGATGGCACACGCCTCACAGATGCTGACCTGTTCAGGTGAATAATACACACGAGGGCGAGCACAAAAGAGAAGGTGTGTTGTTGTCGTTGTGTGAGTACGCGAGTGAGAATGAAAAGAAATCCAACTTCAACAGATAGTACAAGTGTGCACACAAACACACACACACACACACATGTACACACACACGCACACATGTACACACACGCATGCACACACACACACACACATGTACACACACACACACACACGCACAGACCTCGAGGCACAGGCAAAGCCAAGGGCACGACTCCTGCAGCGGCACGCAGTTCATGCACTTGGCTGAAGGTATCAAACGAGCACAATAAACATGTGCGTGAGCACAACACAGGTCGTACACAGGTCGCAGCATCAGAAGTCAGGAAAAAACAAAGCAATTCATTCTTGCAACGAGCAGCGCAGTATCAGGCCCACTTTCGCATGCTCTTAGGTCTGCCCTCGCAAAGACTCTCTCGGGAGGACAACTTACGGCAGATGAAGCCCTGGCAGCAGGAGTACTTGCTCATGTCCTCGTTCAGGGCCTTGTAGCGCAGGTACATGGCGCAGCAGCACGGGAAGAACATGGCGCAGCAGCAACCTGTCACATGCAGCAGAGCAGCCCATCACGTCAGTATCCACGTGCGTGCGTGTGTGTGTGCGTGCATGTGTGTGTGTGTGTGTCTGTGTGTCTGTGAAATTGTCATTGCCTGCAGGCAACATGCGCGAGACCACAGAAGGCCCGAAGCCCTGGTGTTCGTGTTCGAGACGTGCAGCAACAAACAGCAACAAACAGCAACAACAACAACAACTCATACAGCAAGTGCAGTGCAACTGCGCGACATACCAAGCGGCTGGTTGCAGCCGGCCTTGAGCATGGACGTCTCCCATTGACGATCCTGTGGTGGTGGTTATGTGTTGGACAGCGTGAGACGTAGAGAGTCAGGACAAGCACGAAGGTAAGAAGGTAATGAATATGACATGCTGATATGAGGCGTCTAGGCGTCGTGGAGGCAACCACCTATGCGCGAATGCGCCAACGCAAGACAGCGTTTCCGGACAACCACAAGAGGACAAGCGACGAGGCGATCTGCGTTTCACACATCAACAACCACACCGTATGTACAACACCGTACATCCCATCCGTCCGTGTTTCTGACAACACCGCCCACTCAACCCATCCCATCCCATTCCATCCCATCGCTTGCCTGAAGGTCCTTGCGCGGATCATCTTCGGTGGGTGAGCCATCACAGAGGAACTGGCACATCTTGTTTGTGTTCTTTGTGTTGTTGTTGTTGCAGAACGCAAATGAGGCGAGGGGAGGAGGGGGAGGCAACAAGCAGCAAAGCAACACAGACGAGGAGACGAGGGGTGGATATGCAACGGGTGAAGGGGGAATTGGCGCACAAGCAAGATGAAGAAGGTGAAAAGCCAGAAAACAAAACCAAAACGGCTGCCAGGCGAAGATTGGATGTATCTTCGCATAAACACCCAAACAGTGCGCCCTGTTTGTTGGTCCTGTCGCAAGCAAGTCCTGAGTGCCGACACATGACATGACTACATGAACATGACCCCGCATACCGCTTCGCGCTCGCGCTCACTGACTCTTCTGCGCTCTTGTAGGTTCTTCTGGACTTCTTCCCTTGACCACACGCACACACACACACACACACATACACACACACGCACACACACACGCACACACACACGCACACACACACACACACACACTCACACACACACTCTCTCACTGGCGTGGTGGGTAGTGCTGTTGCGGTGGGTAAGGTGCGGCTGAGGGCGTGTACTGGGGCGGGTAGCCCTGCGGAGGATAAGCCTGCTGCTGCTGATGCTGCTGCTGGGGTGGATACGCCATTGGTGGGTAGTACTGCTGCTGCTGTTGCTGTTGCTGTGGAGGGTATGGCTGCTGGATGGCGTTGAAGTTGCCTGGCTGGTGGTGGTGTTGTGCTGGGTGTTGCTGTTGCATCTTTGGCTGCTGTGTGATGGCGCCGCCGCTCACGCCGTCGTAGTCTGTCGCGGTCGGGTGGAGCTTCAGCTCATGGAACGTCTGTGCTTGCATGCACGCTTGTGTCAGGCACTACATAGTATCGGAGTGTGTGTGTGTGTGTGTGTGTGTGCGTCGTGTGAAGTGCAAGGATGAGATTGCGTGAAGATTCCACTCCACGCCTCTGCGTAAATTCCATGGTTGAACTAGCACGCGGGCAGACGTATTCAACACGTTCACACACACACACACACACTCTCTCTCTTTCTCTCGACTTCACATGCACACACATTCTCGCGCATTCATGTCAGCGCATTGTCTTACGTAGACGATATCGGCAATCAGGTCGATGAGTGCGGCAAGTGCATCCAGACCATCAATGAAGATGGCGAGGATGTTGCAGACACACGACAGGATCTGCATGAAGTTGTTGAAGCGCTGTCGAGCCAGACGAGCACGAAAATTGCATGGCACGGATGAGTGCTTCGTCTGACGTGTTCACGCCAACACAGACACACAGACATACAGACATGCAGACATACAGACACAGACATACAGACACACAGACATACAGAAAAACAGACATACAACCACACACCAGCCTTTCTCTTCCCTTTCTCTCAAACACTCACGATGATGCGGTTGTCGCAAGGGTCCGTGATAATCTGGCGCTCCACCTGCACGTAGATGCGCGTGGCGGAGATGGCACAGCTCTCGCACAGCGTCACCTGAGCGAGTGTGTGTGTGTGTGTGTGAGTGCGTGAGTGAGTGAGTGAGTGAGTGAATGTGAGTGTGAGTGTGAGTGTGAGTGAGTGAGTGAGTGAGTGAATGTGAGTGTGAGTGTGAGTGTGAGTGCGTGAGAGAGAGTGTGTGTGAGAGAGAGAGAGAAAGAATGTGTACGTGTGCATGTGAGTGAGGGATAAGGGTGACAGTGTTAGGAAGCGCTTTGCCCCCGCCCCGCCCTCTGCACATCTTGAAACCCCCTGCCACATGCTCACCTCAAGGCAGAGGCAGCACCAAGGGCAGTCGTCCTGACCAGGAAAGCACTTGGTGATGCCTGTCGAAGGGAGGCAGTAAGAGACAAGCGACGAAAGCGGTCAGTGCGATGTCTTGGGGTAGAACCATGTGACGAGCAAGAATGTGCATAAACAAGGACACAGACACGTGCACCCTTAACACTTACACATACGCACATAAACACACACACACACACACAGATACACAAGAGATAGAAGCCACTCACTTGGGCAGATGAAGCCCTGGCAGCAAGAATACTTGCTCATGTCCTCGTTCAGAGCCTTGTAGCGCAGGTACATGGCGCAGCAGCACGGAAAGCACATGGCAGCCAGGCAGCCTGCAAATGGTGCGTCGTGGTTTGCATTGGTGGCGTTCAGTGAGCTCAGGTATATACACGGGGGTGTCTTGCGCGTGGTTGTTGCGTCCACGAGCGTGCTGCACAACACACTGCAAATTTGCTTGTACCACAACGCATTGTCAAGGTGCTCTTGTACTGACCGAGAGGCTGGTTGCAGCCCGCATGCAGCATGGACGTTTCCCATTGCCGGGCCTGTGTATCGTGGAAGGTGGGGTGGCGATAAGATATGGGGCATAGGAGGCAGAATGGTGGCAAGAAGAGGGGGAGAACAAGGAGAAGGCGAAAAGGAGAAGGAGAAGGCTAAAAGGAGGAGGAGGAGGAGGAGGAGGAGGGGAGACACAACAACAACAACAACAACAACAACAACAACAACAACAACAACAACAACAACAACAACAACAACAACAACAACAACAACAACAACATCCACACGCGCTCACGCGCCCATTCTCACACAAGACACCAAGTCTTCCTCTTCCTTGACATACATTGTACTTGTAGAGGCCACGCTTGTCCTCAACCGGGGACCCGTCGCACAGGCAGTCGCACATCGTGCTTGCGGTGTTGTTGGGGGCAAAGTCAGGGAGTGGGGGGTGGTGTGTGTGGGGGTGTGCGTGTGTTGCGATCGCCAAGTACGAAACAATAAGGGAAGAAGGGTTGTAGCAAAAGGCGCTTGGTTGTGCTGAAGGCGAAATAAATTGCTGAGTCAGCACAAACACCGCGATTGCGTTGAACCAGAAGCAAAAGGGCGAACGTCGAGCGAAGCAAAAGCAACGTGGTGTGCATGAGGCAAGCAAGACGGGCAGAAAGACGAAGGACCAGCCTTTCTTGGCTTGGTGTGCCTTGCTGAGATCTCAACATCGATCGCATTTCCACCCACACCCTCAGCGCCAGCGACGACGACGGTCACGATACAGCACACATACACACACTCACACATACACAGACACAGATACACGAACACATACACAGACACACGAACACACACATTCACAGCAGCAATGATGTTCTCTATCGCATCCGCATGCAAGAGTTCTGCTCAGCGGCGGGCAGCCTGCTTGCTCGTTGACGGCATCACAGCCTCGGCTCGAGCTTGTGTGCGCGCGCAAACCAGTGCCACGGCCCGCATGCCCACAGCATGCCGCCACACCTCAGCGGCCGCAGCGATGGTAGCACCGACCGCGCTGCGTCGCATGCACACCGCAGCTGCCCTTGGCCAGCAATCGCAGCCAGCAGTTGAGGAGCCCCACGTGCAACCTTCACAAGACCGCCAGCAGCAGCAGCAACAGCAACAGCAGGAGCAAAAAGCGCAGCCGGCGAAACCGAGCAACAAAGCAGGTCCGCCCTCGTTGGCGCTCAAGGGCAAGAAGATGGTGTTCCTGGGCAGCGGCAAGATGGCCGAGGCGATGATGGGCGGCATGCTCAACTCGGGCGCTGTGGAGGCCACACAGGTGACGGCATGTGACCCCAACGCAACCCGTCGCACCTTCCTCAGCGACCGCTTCCATATCTCCGCCACAGCCAACAACGCTGACGCAGCTAAGGGCGCCGACATTCTCATCCTCGCCGTCAAGCCGCAGACCATGGCCAGCGTCTTTGACGGCATCCGCGACACCATCTCCAAGGAGTGTCTGGTCGTGTCCATTGCTGCCGGCTTCACCATCGGCCAGATCCGCGAGGGGCTCGGCGTGGAGCGTGTCGTGCGCGCCATGCCTAACACGCCCGCCCTCATCAACCAGTCCATCACCAGCTGGACGTTCACGCCGGAGGTGACGACGGAGCAGCGACGCCAGGCGAAGGAGTTCCTGTCCACCTTTGGCGAGGAGGTCCTGCTCTCCGATGAACGCATGCTGGACATGGCCACCGCCCTCTCCGGCAGCGGGCCCGCCATGTGCCAGCTCATGTTTGAGGCCATGATCGACGCCGGCGTGCACATGGGCTTCCCACGCGACACCTCCCGCAAGCTGACGCTGCACACGGTCCGCGGTTCCGTCAACCTCGCCCTGGCCTCTGGCGAGCACCCGTCTGTGCTCAAGAACGACATCACCTCCCCCGGCGGCACCACGGCGGCTGCGCTGTACGAGCTTGAGCGCGGCGGCATGCGCACCGTCATCTCTGACGCGGTGTGGGCGGCCTACCGCCGCTCGCGTGAGCTTGGCGGCCTCGACTCGCGTGTTGGGCCCGGCCGCTCGCACGTGACGCCGCACCTGCAGCTGCCGCGCGAACTGGTGGACAACCTGCAGCAGGCCACGGAGGCCATCAGCGCCGTCACCGAAGAGATTGCACACAAGCAGTCGGACTGATTGCGCATGCGCGTGTGATTCCATGCTGGCGCGCGTGTGTGTGCGCATGTGTGTGATTTGTACAGTGCGTGCGCGCATACCGCGTGCGCGTATGTGTGGATGTCTTGATGTGACTGTGCAAAGGCTGTGCATATTTGACGTGTTCAGTGCGTGACATTGTTGTTGTTGTTGTTCTTATCTTCAGCAGTTGGTTGTTGTTACATTACCATTTTGTTTCTGTCTGTTACGTTACTCCCCTTAATGAACGAACAATATGAGCTGTAAAAACGTTGGCATATGCGAAGGAGAACGCGATGCATAGTGAGCGGGAGTGAGAGTGGGGGAGTGAGAGTGGGGGAGTGAAGAAGAGGCAAACAAAGGAGCAAGGAAAAAGCAAGGAAGATGCTCGCTGCGACGCCTCCCATCTCGGGTGATTAGGTTGTGCAATTTTGACAAACAAAGCTGCAACTGCCAATATCAAACAGCAGCCAACAACAGCAGCAGCCAACAACAGCCAGTCAGTGCAAACGCGGTCAACAACAGGCAGGCAAGCAAGCCAAACCACCCTTTACACGCACCCCGCGCCAAGCCACAAACGCAGCAGCACAGGCAGCACCAAACGCAACAATCGCAGGGATGGATGAGCAGCCTGTCGGCGGCGGCGGACAGGCGCAGACGTTTGAAGAGCTGCTGGAGCGAGAGCTCAAGGCAGCGAAACACCCACCTGCCCAACAACAGCAAGCACAACGACAGGGTCACGCACCACACCAGCAGCAGCCTCAGACAAGGAGCACATCATCAGGCGCTCAGCAAGGCAGGGCTGGCAAGCGCCCTTTCTTACGCCGTGGCTCGGGGCTCAAGAAGTGCGTTGCGTGCGTGCGTGTGTGTGTGTGTGTGCGCGCATGTGCGCGTGTGTGTGTTTGAACGTTTGTGAGTCTTCGAGTGCACTTCTCTGTCTCTGTCTCCCTCTCTGTCTCCCTCTCTGTCACGCACATTCTTGTCCTTCAAAGCTTGAGAGCTCATCCCATTGCATCTTCACGACTGTGCTTGCGTGTGGTTAGGTTTGGAAACGCCTCTGCGCTGACCATCCGCGGAGCAGCCGGCGTCAAGAAACAGAACAAAGGGCAGGCAGAGGATGCAGCTGACGATGAAGACGACATTCGCCAACACAAGCGAACCCAGGGAACAACACACCAGCCACCATCTGCATCAACACAGCCACGTGTAGCGCGTCCGACTAGTGGCAGAGGGCGGCCTGCTGCATCCGGGAAGCCACCTGCTTCAAATCCCCCACCGCGACAGCAGCAGCCACGGGGCCGTGCTATTCACGAACCACCACGCCACGATGAATCACAGCCCTTTGCAGACCATCTCCAGCCCACGCCCGCGCACCACGACACGTCTCTGCTTGACGACATTTCAGAGACATCCTCCCTCTACACCAGCAGGTTGCCTGGGTGTGCGTGTGTTTTCATGAGTGTGTATTCATATGCGCCTACCACCTGTGAGCACCTGCACTGTTCTGATTGCATCGAGGAACGAAGCGTCATTCACACACACACACACATACACTCACACACTCACACACTCACACACACACACACACACACACACACACACACACACACACACACACACACACACACACACACACACACACACACACACAGGACGCAGTGGGAGCAGCAGCAGGTGCAGGAAGAGGAAGAGCTGAAGGAGTTTGAGCAGATTGAGAAAATTGTCACGCCCGCAGCCGAGCGCCAGGACATCTCGGTGTGTGTGTGTGTATGTGTGTATGTGTAGGTACTCTCTCTCTGTGTGTGTGTGTGTGTCTTTCTCTGTCTCTGTCTCTGTCTCTGTCTCTGTCTCTGTCTCTGTCTCTCTCTCTGTGCGATGGAATGCAATCGCTGCACAGCTGCTGGGGTCTCATCCCATTCATCCCTGCTTCCCGTGTCTCGATGCATCTCACTGTTCTGCATGACCGCGCATGTGGCCGTTGTTCAGGTGTCTGCTCTGTCGCCCAACGTTGCATCTCCCATGAAGCGCGCCTTGCGCGCCGTCAACACCAGAGCAAACGCTGGCGATGTGCGTACAAGCACAGGCGCGCGCACACACACGCGCAGCGGCATCACGACCCACAACCATCAGGGTGCCATGGGATTCCACCGTTCGCAGGCCACAGTGCCGTCGCCAAGCGCGATGGCAACCATCGCATCCCTCTCGTCCCTCTCCGAGGTTGTTCTCGGACCAGCAGGGGCAACAACAGCAACAGCAAGAGCAGCCATGGCAGCCAACGAGGCACCTCCATCAGCACCAGCGCCATCATCATCGTTGTTGACTGGAGGCTCGCTGGCAGCCGCTGTCAGCCGTCGCCGACACGTGTGGCGGCAGCACGGAACAGCCCTGGCAGGGAGAGGTGGTGGGGTGCGTGCCAGTGGCAGTGATGGTGGTGATGATGATGTTTGTGATGTTGGTGATATGGTTGGGCAAGTAGGAAGTGGCCAGGGTTTGCCGCATGTGTTGCTTGCAGGCAATGGCGAGCGTGTGGCGAGTGCGCGAGTGGTTGGGAGGCCGATTCACGCCCACGGCCGCGATGGTGGTGGACATGGTAACGGAGAAGGAGATGGACTGGACAGCGATGGTGAATCTGATGTGACCATCACGGGACACAACGTTCATGATGATGATGAGGATGTTGATGAAGATGATGATGATGGTCGCGGTATTGGGGTGCGTGGCAGTAGTGGTCGGGCCGTGGATGTGCGTGGCGATGAGGAGGAGGACTGGGGAGAGTTGAGCGATGCTGAGGACAACCACGAAGATGATGATGGTGATGATGACGACGGTGATGGTGGTGATGGTGATGGTGGCGATGATGTTCTGCGCGCTGACGCTACATCACATGATGGCCATGGGGATGATGATGGCGATGGTGTGGATGCATCACCACCCCCGGTGTCGTCGCTCGTACAGCGGCTGTATCACAATCGCCGTCACAACAGCAGCAGCAATAACAGGAGCAGTACGCGGCGGCAGTACACACAACAGCAACGTGAGCGAAGTGGGCGTGGAGGTGATGGTGATGCTGGTGATGGTGATGATGGCAGCAGTATTGGCGGTGGCAATGACAGGAATAGTAGCAATCATGTTGGTGGCGGCGGCGGCGGTTGGATGAAGAAAGGGTCACCGCGGTTGAAGAGCCATCATGGCGCCGCGAAAACAACCAACGACAATCAACACCAACAACAACAACAACACCAACAACAACAACAACAACAACAACACCACCAACAACAACAACAACAACAACACCAACAGCAACAACAACAGCTCCAGCAACAGGGACGAGGTGGAGGAGGAGGAGGAGGAGAGGACACATCGTCTGGGGCTGTGGATGACGTCATTGCTGCGAAACTGCAGCAGCTCGATGACGAAATCAGGTGTGCGTGCGTATGTGTGCGTATGTGTGTGTGTGAAAAGGAGGGCTAGCTGATGTCTGCAGCGATATTTGCGTGTGTTAACGGCTCTGGTACCACAATCTCCACCATATCCACAACAAACACACGCACACACACATCCACGCATCAAACGTCACCTAACCTCCATCCAACTTCCATCCCATCCTGCGTGCAGGCGGTTCCGGATGGAGACGGAGGCGGCGTCGCGCGCGAAATTTGAATTTGAGGACAAATTGCGGCATTTGGACAAAGAAGTGGAGGAGTTTGAGCGCCAGCGGCAGAAGGAAATGGACGACTTTCAGGTGTGTGTGTATGTGTGTGCGTGCGTGTGTGTGTGTGTGTTTATGTGTTATGTGTGTGTGTGTTGTGCGTGTGTGTTTATGTGTGTGTGTGTGTGCCGTGTCGTACCGTGTCGTATGTGTACGGGTTGGGTCTTCGTTCATTCATTTTGTGTTTGCCTGCAACACCATCACTGCTTGCAGGCATACAAGGAACGGGAAACGGCAAAGTTGAAGAAGGAGAAGCGAATCTTCCAATCCCACCGGTACGCCAGTTACTGCCGTGGGGAGAGGTTGCAATGTTGTGATGGTTGGGGGACTCACATGTCGGGCCGCCTTGTGACTTCAAAACACACACACACACACACACACACACACACACACACACACACACACACACACACACACACACACACACACACACACACACACACACACACACACACACACACACACACACACACAATTGCGTGAGCAGGCAGGCGATGCGCGAGATGCCAAACAAGAAGGACCGGGAGACGATTGCGGCATTGGAGGAGGAAATTCAGCGTTTAACGGAGCAGCTGGAGGCGCAGGACCGCCGAAACGCCTCGTCACGGCGGCGCCTGGAGGAGAGAATACAGAGCCTGCAGGCAGAGAACGAGCAGTTGCAGGAGGAGCTGCTGTTCATGGAGCGAGAGCGCGTGGCACGAGGACAGGCGCCAAGACGGCACCAACAACCGCAGCAGCAGCAACAGCAGCAGCACGATGGCGCTCAGCCAAGGCAGCCACAGCAGCAGCAACAGCGACCAAAGTCCTCCATTCCACAGCCGGACGCCGCATCCGCCTCGACTGCAAGGACAGGCGGCAAAACAAGCAGTGCCGGTGGCAGTGATAGCAGTGATGGTGCGGGAAGAAGACAGCACAGACAGCAGAGGGGAGGGAAGGGGATTGCAAATCACAGTGATGATGATGGCGATGGCAATGATGAGCACAAGCACGGGCGTGATGCTGATGGTGGCGGTGATGCGAAGAAGCGGCGAGCGCCCGAGGCAGAGGAGATGAACGGGTTTGCGGACAGCTCAAAGGACCACAAAGGAGCACGTGGTGGTGTAGGTGGAGAGGAGGCAACGACGACCACACCCACGAGTCCAGAGCACAAGCGGTGCGTGATATGTTGGTGAATGCTGTGATTGCTGAACGTGCTGTGCTCGTGTGTTTGACGCGATGCTGTGCAGTTTTCTGCCACTCACCACATGTTGTGTGCGTGTGTTTGTTTGTTTGTTTGTTTGTTTGTTTGTTTGTTTGTTTGTTTGTTTGTTTGTTTGTTTGTTTGTTTGTTTGTTTGTTTGTTTGTTTGTTTGTTTGTTTGTTTGTTTGTTTGTTTGTTTGTTTGTTTGTTTGTTTTGTTTGTGTGTGTCGGTTACATTGGTGCCGTTCGCGTTTCAGTCGCAGCGGCGGTGGAAAAGTTGTGCGTGTGTTGGAGGATGGAAGCACGGAGACCACATTCAGGAATGGCACCGTCAAGGTTCGTGTGTGTGTGTGTGTGTGTGTGTGTGTGTGTGTGTGTGTGTGTGTGTGTGTGTGTGTGTGTGTGTGTGTGTGTGCAAGATGATTGTGCTTCGCCACAACCTGCTTTGCGCTGCCTTGTCATCACAAACCCACCATCCCTGACCATCACCACCACCGTCGTTGACAGGTGACGCGTGCAGACGGGACTGTCTCCGTTTCGTTCTTCAACGGCGATTCAAAGGACGTGGAGCTTGACGGAACCGTGAGTCGCGCAGGGGGGGGGGATGTGTGTGCGTGTGCATGTGCGTGTGCGTGTGCGTGTGCGTGTGCGTGTGCGTGTGCGTGTGCGTGTGCGTGTGCGTGTGCGTGTGCGTGTGTGTGTAAGAGTGCGTGTGCGTGTGCGTGTGCGTGTGCGTGTGCGTGTGCGTGTGCGTGTGCGTGTAAGAGTGCGTGTGTAAGAGTGCGTGTGTGTGTGCATGTGAATCAGGCACCTTGCCCATGTAGTGCGCGGGTTCACGTCTCCTGTGCGTTTCCAACTCCCCTCCAACGCCAACACGTGTCGCTTCCCCACTCGCCACACGTGGGGATCAGGTTGTGTACCGCTATCACGAGGCGCAGACAACGCACATCACGAAACCAGACGGAAGCGAAACGTTTGAGTTTGCAAACGGACAAGTGGAGAAGCACCACGCAAACGGCGTCAAGGTGCGCGTGTGTATGTATTCGTGTGTGAATGTGTGTGTGTGTGCGTGTGTCATTGGCTGTTCGCCTTTTCGCCACCTGGACACACTGTTGCACACACAGACGCAAGCGCACGCTTTCTCTCACACGCATGTACGCGCACACCAACTTCTCTCACGCATATCCTCCCTCCCTCGTTGTCCAACGGCAGGAGATTCAGTTCCCCGACGGTACGACCAAGTTCATCTTCAACGACAGCGAGGAGGAGACGGTGTTTTCGGATGGAACAATTCTCCGCATCACCGTCAACGGCGACAAGGTCATCGACTTTCCTGATGGGCGACACGAGGTCCACACCAAGGCGTTTTCAAAACGGAGGTATGGGATTGTGTGAATTGTGTGTGTGTGAGTGTGTGTGTGAGTGTGAGTGTGTTGTGTGTGTTGTGTGTGTGTGTTGTGTGTATGTGTGTGCGTATCCCATATCACACATGCGTGAATGTTCAAGGACAAACGCCACCCGTTCGTTCATCACCACCCCTGCCTATGCTGCCCAGATATCCTGACGGGACAGTGAAGATCGTCTATCCAGACGGACGACAGGAGACGCAATACCGCGACGGGCGGGTGAGGAAGCGGTGATGGTGCTGATGGTGATGGTGGTGGTGTTGGTGCTGTGATGGTGGGTGGCGATGTTGTGGTAATTGTGGGAAGGATGTGCTGTGATGGCCGCTGTGCATGCTGTATCGTTGCTCGCCTCACGCCAGCTCCTCTTCATGATGGCCTCGCCTTCAGGTTCGCATCAAGGACCGGTCTGGCACCGTATTGGTGGACACGGCGGCATGACGACGACGACGACGACGATGCTGCCGCTGCTGCGGCTGCTGCTGCTGCTGATGATAATGCTGATGTTGCTCCTGCTGCTGCTGCTGATGATGTTGTTGGTGAAGAAGGGTTGAGGCGTTGTGTTGGCCGCGATTGGCGGAGCACCACAGCGTGTGGTGCAGGGTGTCGATAGGGGCTTATATCCGACGTTCTGCTGTCAATATTGCGTGATGTTATGTTGTGTGACATGATGTGATGTTCTTTTTACATTACCTCACTCCCTTTTTCGAAGCCTTTGCGTCTCGTGTTCATAGCTCACTGTACATTCAAGCAAGCGTGTGGGAAGAGAGAAGGGGGGGGGGAGGGAGGGAGGACGCAAGGGCATTACAGCTTACAACGTGGTTAGTTTGTGGACGATTACATACACACGAGGTTTTGATTGGTTCTCAACCGTCGTCGTGTGTGTCGTGTGTGTCGTGTGTTGGGAGTTGGTGGGAATATGTGTATGCAAGCGCGCGTGTGTCTCACAGTGGCATTGGCCACCCAGTCTGCTTATCTCGCTGAGAGAGGGTGCGTGTGTGTGTGTGTGTGTGTGTGTGTCACTCACACACACACACACACACACACACTTCAAAAGGTATGTTCTTCGTTCGTGACAGGTGTACTCAGACGTTTCAAGAGGGAGCGTGGGCGGACGTGAGACATAAACACAACGACAGCAGGAAGCAAGGGACACTCAAGAAAATGTTACAAACAAACAAGCAAGTAAGGAACGACACAAACAGGAACCGAACAGCGTTGTAAGCAGCGAAAGAGCCGTGCATATGGCAAATCGAGCTAGAGGGAGCAAGAAACACGCAAGAGGAAAGAAGAAGAGGAAAGCAGAAGGAGGAAAGGAGAGGGAAGAGGGGTTGCTGCTGTTGTTGTTGTTGTTGTTGTTGTTGTTGTTGTTGTTGTTGTTGTTGTTGTTGTTGTTGTTGTTGTTGTTGTGTTGTTGTTGTTGTTGCGACATCCGTCAAACACAGCGTGTACGTCTCGGCGTCACAGTCAAAAAGCAGCGCCAGAAGTTCACCGCATACGCACGCGACAACAAATGGTGGTGGCTGATCAGTTGTTCTTCTTCTTCGCTGCAGCGCGAGCGTCCTTCTCCTTTGCAGCGAGGTCGCGTGGAGAGACGTCGAGGGTCTGCAGGACGAGGTGGCGCTCGTGGGAGCGAATTACGCGCTCGAGGAAATACATTCCGTTCCAGTAGAAGGTGAGGATGACCACCCACGCGGCAACGTTGGCAACTGTGCTCACGCGTGTGTGTATGTGTGTGCGTGTGTGTGTGTGTGTGTATGTGTGTGCGTGCGTGTGTGTGTGTGTGTGTGTGAGGAGGGGCGGGAGGGAGCAATTGGATGTGTACTGCCAAGCGCCATTCGACACACACAGCCACACACAGCCACACTCAGACACACACACACACACACACACACACACAGACACAGAGAGACAGTGACACACAATCACACACACACACACAGACACACACACACAGACACACAAACACACACACACAGACACACAGACACACACACACACACACGCACAGACACACATACACACATACACACACAGAGAAGCATGTGGCGTCCTACGTGTTTGGTCGCGAATGAGCGGGATGGTGGAAGTTGGGAGGCGCATGGAGAGGTCTGGATCAGCGATGCGCTTGTTCGCCTCAACGAGGTTGTGGTACGTGAGCCACGCATGGATGATGCAGCCTTGAACGACGGGAGGATGTATGGTGGCAATGTGTGAGGTGCGAATGATGCTTGTTGTGAAGGAGACAAGGGGAAACGCAGACATGGGTGTGTGCGAGAGGGAACATGGTGCACAGCCAGTGAGAAATGTACACACAGAGACACAGGCACACAGGCACACAGACACACAGACACACAGACGCACAGACACAGACACACACACACACACAGACATACACTTACGCACCTGGGGCACGGACCCAGTTCTGCACCCAAACGTTCCACTCCTTCTCTTGCATCTTCGAGATGACGTTGCACTTGATGAGGACGAGGAAAATGTAGTCGATACCGCCTGTAAGATGACGCGCGCGAGCGGAAACGGCGATCAGTGCGCATGAGTGCGTGTATTGTTCGCGGGGTGGCAATTATGTCATGGATAAACGCATGCAGAAGTAGAGAAACGTAAACCACGCACACACGCACACAAAAGATTACACACACAGGTGCACACAGACGAGTACACACAGACACACAGGTACACAGGCACACAGGCACACAGGCACACACACACACACACACACAGGTACACAGGCACACAGGCACACACACACACACACACACACACACACACACACAAGCATGCACATGCACACAATCAAAATATGCAAACAAAGCATCAGACAAACATTACCTGGAAGGCCACTGGCGTAGAAGGCGCCATGAGCAATCATGTGGCCAGGGGCAAGCATGTATGCGAGTGGAAGCATGACAATCACCATCACCACATGGTGCACCTGTCGTGAAGCACAAGCGTGGTGAGGACACAAAATGGCGTGAATGATCACAAAGGTA